CAGGACCCCGAGATCATGACCTGATCCAAAGGCAGACGCTTAACCATCTGAGCCACCCAGGCGCCCTGGGAACTCTGTTTTGAAAGTCCTCCTGGGGGCACCTGGGTGGCTCAGTCAGTTAAGCATCTGCCTTCAGCTCAGGTCATGATCCCAGGGTCCTGGGATCGAGTGCTTCATCTGGCTCCCTGCTCAGTGGGGAGTCTGCTTCTCCCTCTGCCCCTCCCCCCCCACTTGTGCTCCCTTGCTCTCTCTCAAAAAAGTAAATCTTAAAAAAAAAAAAAGAGAGTCCTCCTTATTTCATTGCCAGATGCCCAGGACTCAAAAGCAAAGTACTTTAAAAAAAAAAAAAAAGCAAAGTACTTACGTAGCTATTTCTAGTACTCCAGGAAAATACTTCTCCACAACAGGAACAAACTTAATTTTTGTAATTAACTCAATCCCAATAAATTGACAGATATGATTAAGTACCCATCATAAGAATAATGATAATTATCATAATAATGATCATATTAATAATACTGTGTTGAATCACTAAATTGTACTCCTGAAACCAATATTACACTATATGTTAACTAGAATTTAAATAAAAATTTGTAAAAAAATTAACCATGTTATATGATTTTTAAAAAATCTAGATATCAAGTACATTTTAAGGCAAGTTTCCTGGCAATATTTAATCAAGGCTCTTCATGAGCAATAGCAATGATAATATGAGTCTGGGTAACTAGACATCTGCCTGACTCCCTGAGCCCATGGTTCTCAAATGTTGGCTATCTTCAGTATCACTTGGAAAGCTTGTTAAAACACTGGGCTTGGGGCGCCTGGGTGGCTCGGTCGTTAAGCGTCTGCCTTCGGCTCAGGTCGTGATCCCAGGGTCCTGGGATCGAGCCCCGCATCGGGCTCCCTGCTCCGCGGGAAGCCTGCTTCTCCCTCTCCCACTCTCCCTGCTTGCGTTCCCTCTCTCACTGTGTCTCTCTCTGTCAAATAAATAAATAAATAAAATCTTTAAAAAACAAAAAACAAACAAACAAACAAAAAACACTGGGCTTGCCTCCAGTGTTTCAGATACAGTAGGCCTGGGGTGGTGTGTGGGAATTTTCACTTCTAATATGTTACCTGATGATGCTAATGCTGCTGGTTTGGTAACCAGAATTTGAGAATCTGTGTCCTAAACAACAAAATCATTTGGTCCTTATTTCAGATGTTTCTTAAAAAAAAAAAAGTCTTGGGGTGCCTGGGTGGCGCAGTCAATTAATTGTTGGACTCTTGGTTTCGGATCAGGTCATGATCTCAGGGTTGTGAGATGGAGCCCTGCACTGGGCTCCATGCTCAGCACAGAGTCTGCTTGAGATTCTTTCCCCCTCCCTCTCCCTTAGCTCCTCCCTCTACTCACGCGCTCACTCTCAAATAAATAAACAAATAAAATTTTTTTAAAAATTCGTTTTAACTTCAACCTTGTTATGAAAGGAATCCATCAAAAGAAATCAAAGCAACACTATGGGTAAATCATGTATGGTTGTGCTGAAGAAAACATTTTTTTTTTCTTTTTTAAAGATTTTATTTATATATGAGAGAGAGAGAGAGAGCACGAGCAGGGGGAGGGGCAGAGGGAGAAGCAGGCTCTCTGCTGAGCAGGGAGCTGGAAATGGGGCTCGATCCCAGGACCCCGAGATCATGACCTGATCCAAAGGCAGACACTTGACTGACTGAGCCACCCAGGTGCTCCCTGAAGAATAAATTTTCTTACATGTAGTCAATATTTATTGCTTTAATGTGGCTGTGTTTAATTACCAGTTCCTTAGCAATATGGGATTAGTACAGCCTTTCTGCTGTTTTGGTTTTAGCTCTAGTGCAGCATGCTGGTAAATGTAGGTCCCATCTTGATGCTCACACTGGTCCTTGGCGTCCAGCCGCAGAGGTTCTCAGATGGTCTCTGCTCTCAGTGACCAATCGCTACAGTACAAGGGCTTGCTTCTCTCACTCTTACCACAGCTCCTTAACCACCTTATTTAAAATCGAAACTCTCGCTCCCAAACCTTTTATTCCCCTTTCTTGCTTTATTTTTCTCCATAACTTTTGTCACCGTGTAAATTTTCTATATAATTTTTCTGTATATGTTACTTACTGTATGTCTCCCCCTGTTATAATTTAGATCCAGTAGGGGCCTAAGTTTTGTCTGTTTTGTTTATTGGTACATTATAGGCACCAAGCCATGCTTGGCAAATGGACGAATGAATCATTTCCTTTGATCTGTGTACATTAACACATTATATTACTCACTGACTGACCTGGTTCATTTGCTCTATTCTGCACACATTATTAAAAATTATACTTTTTCTTTGGCCATTTTTCTACCTGAAGTTAGGTGCTAAGCCTCTTCTTCTTCTTCTTCTTTTTTTTTTTTTTTGGTGAGTAAAGTGTTAGAAGTTTATTAAGCAAGGATACAGAATTAGCTCTCAGAAGTGAGAGGGGTCCCGACAGCGTTGCTAAGGAGGGCCTTTAGGGTTGGTCTTTTATAGAAAGCTAACCGGGGAACTTAAATCCTTTTAACATCTCTATTGATAACACCTTCAATGGCTTACTTCCTTTTTAGGGTCTGGTTATTCTTTGTTGGTCACAGGTGCTTATCATAAAGACACCCACCCCACAGGCCTAGGGTAGGGTGGTCCGATTTGTCCCCTTATCTCTGGTTTCCCCACATTTTTGGGATTTCTGTGAGCCTGATCACATAGCCCCTTATCTATCTCTCCCTACCTAGCCTCGCTTGTCCTTACTTATTTGTCTCCCTGGAATAGTAACCCTAAGTGCTATTAGGGAATGGGATGATGACCGCTCTGGCTGCTTCCGGCTGAAATGGGATGGCGGGCTGCGTGGCTAAGCTTCTTCTTAAGGTTCACTTTGGGCCATCCATCAAAAAGGACTGTGATAATTTTCACCTAGTTGCTATAGGTTCCACATCTGGATTCATCCATTCCTATTTATCAGTATGTAACACAAACTTCTGCCAATAACTATCCTTTTCTTCATGTTCTTGATGTCCTCACCTTTGACAGTTTCAGGTAACCCATCATATCAGTCTTTCGTGCTCTCCTGTTGCCTCAGCCTAAGGCTATGACTATACTACTCCAATCAATATTCAATAAACAAACACATCTCCTGTTAGAAAATAGTATGTTCTAACCCATGTTTCCTTTATATTACCATACTGCTTATTGTCTCAGCTAACCTTCTTGAAAGTGTCGACTCTATTCTGTTTCTTTATATATGCAGACTGTTCTACCTACTTTATTTTGGCTTTTACCCCCAAAATTCTATTAAACGTTTTACCAAAGTCTTTCATGACCTGCCCTTCTTATGTTCCTTTTCTCAGCAAATATCTCCACCTTTCACTCAGGTTTTCTTTTCTTTCTTTCTTTCTTTCTTTTTTTTTTTTTCCCAGTACCTTTTTTTAATTGAAGTGTAAATGACACACAAATTAGTTTCAGGTGTACATCATAGTGATTCCATATTTTTATAATCATGAAATGATCCCCATGATAAGTCTAGTTACCATCTGCCACCAAATGATGTGGGATGCTTCACGAATTTGCATGTTTTCCTTGTGCAAGGCTATGCTGATCTTCTTTGCATTATTCTAATTTTAGTGTATGTGCTGCCGAAGAGAGCACTCACTCAGGTTTATCGCCAGAAGCTCGATAGCATCCTGAGTCTTACCTCTTTTACCCTCAATTCTCACATATTTATTTGATCTAAGTAAATAAAAAAAGGTGAAAACTGAATCTCTTGAAATTTTCAAGAGTGCCTAACCCAAGAAGTTAAAATGCTCTAACTTTACATGTCTTGTGATAAGTAGTGATATTTTATTATCTATTATTTCATTTAGAGATGGAGGCATTAAGTCTCAGATAAGTTGTGACATGGTCAAAGTCACCTGGAAAATAAACTGATTTAGCCAAGACTGGATTTGGAAACCTCTGGATCTTATTTAGGTAATGTTTCATGGTTTAAAGCCATGAATATACAAGACTTGATGGGTTAGATTTTTTTTTTTTTCCTAGATGTAAGCAGAATTTCCTTCAGTTTGGTATGGTCGTTGCTCATCCTTTTGACACAGTCTCAGGTTTCTGGAATGTCTACCTGGCACTATATTGATGCAGAATGAATGTGCTGAAGATAAAAAATGTTGTGTGATGTACTAAAGACTAATGTCAAGTTTTCCTAAATATCAAGGACATGAGTCTGTTCACTGTCTCTCTCAACACTTCTTTCACCTTTCATTTCTTAAGCTATAAATAAAAGGGTTCAGAAGTGGGGTCACCACTGTAATGAGGACAGCAGCTATCTTGTCAAAATCCAGGGAATAGTTCTGGTTGGGTCTCACGTACACAAAGATGTTGCTCCCGTAGGCAGTGGACACAACTGTGATGTGAGAAGCACAGGTAGAAAAAGCTTTTTGATGGCCTTGGGCTGAGGGGATGCGCAGGATGGTAGGTGTAGGACCCAGTAGCGAATGCCAGGGAGCTCAGGATGACAAGAGCAGATAGGAGAAAGTTTATCTGCTCAATGAGGTACGTATCTACACAAGCCACCTGCAGAAGAGGGGCAATGTCACAGAAAAAATGATCAATTTCTTTTCTACAGTAAGGTAGCCTTGTCACTACAGTGGTTGGTACCAACACGGACAGGAAGGCTCCCACCCAGCAGCCCAGGACCAGCAAGAGGCAGGTCCTGCTGTTCATGATGGTTGTGTAGCGCAAGGGATTACAGATGGCCACATAGTGGTCAAAGGACATCACCGCCAGGAGGATAAACTCCACTGTCCCCAAGAAAAAAAAGAAGTATGTTTGGGTGATGCAGCCAGCAAAGGATATGGTTTTCTTCTCTCCTAGGAGGCAGGCTAGCAACTTTAGGGTAATGACCGTGGTGTATAAAATATCTAGACAGGACAAATTACTGAGGAAAATGTACATTGGGGTCTGCAGGCGTTTATCAGTCCATATTAGGAAGATGATGATAATGTTTCCTGTTGTGGTTAATGTGTAAGTCAGCAAAAGAACCACAAAGAGGAAGACGCGAAGCTCTAGGAGAGCAGGGAAGGCGATCAGGGTGAATTTAGTCACTGTGCTCCAATTTCCCATGGCCTTGGCTACACGGTGGGCATGGTCTCCCTTAAGAAACAAGAAAAGGAAAATCAGCTTAAGAGGTCATTTTATAAATATCTGTTGAAAATGTGTTGTGGAGCGTGCCTTCCATTGGGAGATGGGTCAGGGGATTAGCCCTCGATCAGAAAGTCATTATTGGGCATCCTTGGGAAAATCAAAATACCATTTAGACACAACTTTTTCCATAAAATGAAAGGAGAAGAGTGGATTAAAAAAATCCTCTAAGGTTCCTTCCAGTAATAAAATTCTACTCATTTTCATTAAATGAAATTTTTTTTCTCTTCAGTGCACCCAGCTTCATTTTCCTGGATCAAAATGTGCTATGAGGTACTGACTCACACTTAAACAAGAATTATTTTTTTTGAAGTTTACAGTCACTGAGAGGGAAATTCTTTTAAATACTTTCTAGCCTTTTGTATAACAAATTTTCTTTTACTTGGGCAGTTGACATTGGTGACCTGCCACAAGTAAGAGATAAAGGTTGATTTCTTTTTTCCAATATTTGGTGATCTCCAGAGTCTCAATTTTGAAAACCTTTTCCTTGTATATGTAGATCTATGGGAACAGACCAGAAGTATCTGAAAGGAACAGTGGTTCATGGTTCCTGCTAATCACTTTAGATGACACATCAAAAGGGCATAGTGGGTATCTTATCTTTAGGTTATGCCTTGTGTCCACAACCTACCTTCTACAAATTCTGTGAAGTATGTAAGCTATACATCATATATCTGGCTGGTTATTATTTTTTATTGAAGTATAATTAACATACAACATTTTAGGTATACAATGTATCCATTCAATAATTCTATGCATTACTTGGTTTCACGATGATAAGTATAGTTACCATGTGTCACCATACGTTATTGCAATATTATTGACTATATTCCATGTGCTACTTTTCATCCTTGTGACTTATTTATTTTATGACTGGAATTTTGGCCCTCTTAATCCCATTCCCCCTCCACCTCCCCTCTGACAACCACCAGCTTTTTCTCTGTATTTACAAGTCTGTTGTTTTGTTCATTTGTTTTTTTGATTCCACATGTAAGTGAAATCGTAGGGTATTTGTCTTTGTCTGTCTGACTTATTTCTGGCTGATTATTATTTTTTTTTAAAGATTTTTTATTTCTTTATTTGACAGAGAGAGACACAGCGAGAGAGGGAACAGAAGCAGGGGGAGTGGGAGAGGGAGAAGCAGGCTTCCAGCGGAGCAGGGAGCCCGATGCGGGGCTAGATCCCAGGACCCTGGGATCATGACCTGAGCCGAAGGCAGATGGTTAACGACTGAGCCACCCAGGCACCCCTCTGGCTGATTATTTAAGGGGATGCTAGACAATGTGATTAAATCAGAGAGGTACAGATTATACACAGGGGGTAAAATAGAGATAATTTAGCTCACTTTCTTTACTTGATTAGTTGAAATCATAAAACTACATCAAGATCTGGGCGCCTGGGTGGCTCTGTTGGTTAAGTGACTGCCTTCAGCTCAGGTCATGATCCTGGAGTCCCAGGATCGAGTCCCACATCGGGCTCCCCGCTCAGTGGGGAGTCTGCTTCTCCCTCTGACCCTCTCCCCTCTCACGCTCTCTCTCTCAAATAAATAAAATCTTTAAAAACAAAAACAAAAACAAAACTACATCAAGATCATCTAGTTCTTTATCCCAGGATCTGAGAAATTTCTTTGGCACAGATATCCCCATTTCAGGTTAAAAGCACTCATGCTTTAACCTCCAGGCTCTCTTTGTCTAGGTTTTACTTAGCTCCTCCTTAACAAATAAGTTAGAGGTTATTCCCCTCATTTTCCTTTTTCTCACCTCCCCTCCTACTCTCTTTCCAAGATAAAAATTTTGCCTTCCTATTTCATTTTTTGTTTCCCATTACAAAAAAAAGCCTCACATTTTTCAGTGCAAAGAATTAGAATATGCAAATACAAAAAAGAAAATTATAACCTGTAAGCAAACCTGTTAGAGATACAGTGACAACATTTTGGCTACTATATTTCCAGGCCATTTCAAAATTAAATTACTTACATATGTATCTAAAATAAATGATGCTGACATACTATTTTGTAACTGGCTTTTCTTATTTTTCTTTTTTTTTTAAATAATAATCATTGTCCTTCCATGTCAATTACTAGAACTCTGCACACTCATTTTTTAAAATCAGCTTCTTTGAGGTACAATTGACATACAAAGAACTGCACATGGGGCACCTGGCTGGCTCAGTTGGTGGAGCGGGCAACTCTTGATCTCAGAGTCATGAGTTCAAGCCCCATGTTGTGCGCAGAGATTACTTAAAAATAAAATCTTAAAAAACGGGGCACCTGGCTGGCTCTGTTGGCTAAGCGACTACCTTCGGCTCAGGTCATGATCCTGGATTCCCAGGATCAAGTGCTGATCCTGGAGTCCCAGGATCGAGTCCTGCATTGGGCTCCCTGCTCAGTGGGGAGTCTGCTTCTCCCTCTGACCCTACCCCCTCTCGTGCATGCTCTCTCTCTGAAATAAATAAAATCTTAAAAAAAATGTTTTAAAAAAACCTTAAAAAACAACAACAAAGAACTCCACATATTTAATATGCATAATTTGATGAGTTTTATGTGATTTATGTGCAAGAATATTTACTCAGTCATTATCTATACAGGAAAGAAATGTTGATCATCTATATTAACAACACTAAACAATTGGCTAAATATCTGTGGTGCCATCCATAGAGTCAGACACTGTATGACCCTTAGACGTGCTTGTGTGAAGGAAACTCTGGGAGGTGTTGGGTGTGTCTGTCACCTTAATTGTGGTGATGCTATTATGGATGCGTGTATGTGCTCAAACTCATACAAGCTCTCAAATGATTCTATAAGTTACTGCACAAAAGTGGCTAATCATGAATAACTAAAGCAACATAATAGCACGTGAAATCTCATGCGAACTTTCTGTCTGAGGCACTAAGTGTCTATTTTGTGCGTGTATTGTATTATTATTTCCATGAGGTTGTTCAACAGGCAAATGATAGTTCCCACTTTCAGATTCAAGTGTTTGATAAATACAACATTCAAGATGAGCTACTGTGAGGTTTAAACTAAATTGTATGTGTGGCAAGATCTAACAGATTCTTGCTTAAAAAATGGCTTCATTCAGAAAGGATTGAGATAAACTTAAAGGAGATGAATAATTAGAGTGAACTGTTTCTTGAATAAATAACAATAAATTATGGAAAGTTTAATTTGGAACTGAGGAATATTCTTAATGCATCCTTAATCTGAATCCCCCAGATTTGCATCTGACCCCACTAAGAATATGACAGATCAGAGAGACTACACATGAGAAGATACATTTAACAAAAGTACTATATTAATAAATAAAACATAGGTGAAAAAATACACTTACGTTTCACGGATTGTATAAATGATGTAAGATTCTCTGATGTTTTGTATATGCAGACATAGCAAGAGGCTCCAACGGTGATTATTATGTGTGCATGAATTTACTCTAAATATTGTACTTTGAGAT